GGTAAAAAAAATGTTTTGTTTTTTGTATTTATTTTTTTTTTTTTTTTTTTTTTTTTTTTTTTTTTTTTTTAACAAATAAGATTGATTTTTATTTGTGACTTGTTTTATAGTTATAATGTTACGTAATCTGTCACACCCACCCAAAAACTCTGTCAGGGTTTGATGGAGAGACTGATGTTTCATCGAATAACCCTGGTCTGATAGATCTTTTTGATGTGGGCTGTATTAGTATAAGATGCACAAAAAAGTGAGTAAATACCTACAAGAAATCGTTATGTTATACTATGGTGCTGGTTTGTAATGTTTGCCAGTGAATCCAGCCATGCTACTAGTTTTAAGAATTCCTGGATCTGTGCGTCCCAACCGCAACCAATGGAAAAAAAGTGCACTAAAAGAAAACATGCACTGGGATCTCGTGATGCCACCTCTTATAAATGGAAAGAACATCTACTGCAAATAAAGAAATACACTTTGATTTGTGACTGCATGTCTTTTTACTGTAAAAACAAAAGTTTAGATTTTTTTTTTTAGTTAGCATTTTTGGTCCTTTTCAATGATATTTTCATAATTGGCGGTTCCATTAGCATCTCTAACAACTTCCATAAAATGTATGTAAATGCTTTTGATTCCTTTACTCTTTACTTTTTTATTTAAATCTACAAATCTTGAGTTAATCATCACTGACTTCCTGTGTCCCGAAAGGGTAAATATTACATATATTTTTCTCGCTTACCGTTGAAATTAAAGTCGAGAGAAAATAGCATTCAGTTAATCCAGAGGAGTGTGGATCTTCATTAGGAACAAAATAGCAACTTGCTTAAACTTAACCATGTTCCAGTCAACCAAACCACTTTCAAACCTCGCGCAGTCCAGTGGACCCCGCGTGAGCTTTTTACTCTGCGCGCGGGCTCGCACTAACGTCGCGTGCGCTTTTGGAAAATGACGGGCTGATTGGAGCGACTACTAAAAAATAATTCTTTCTCTTCCTGTGGTTACGGACACTTAAACTGTTTTGGTTATACAAGTGATGCCTCCAACTCTCTAATGTCTGTATGGCCGTTCTTTCCAGCATCACCATGTTAGTATTTGACATGGTTGTGTACACAGATTTGATCATCAGATAAACAAGGCTACCACAAGTTTTGATGTCTACCACCTGTCATGTTGGATACTTAAAATTGAGAATGGATCTGATTCTCAGTCAGGTCCCTCTGATTTTTTGAAAATAAATCAAAAATGTAATGTATTTTGAAATATGAGAAAATAAATCAAAAATATAATGTAGCCTATCCAGATACAGCAACGCACTTTGAACTCCACACCTTTGATCTCAGTACACCACTATTCAGATTGTGTTGGCCAACATAGATGGGAAGATAGAAAACTATGATAGCAGCTTGACATTGTAAACACTATGCATAAAACAAGCACTTTCCAATTGTTTTATGAAACTATTATTCCAATCACCTTGACTATGAGCAGATTAACTTGTTTTCCATCTCACATGTTCAGGTTCACCTTTTGTCTTGTATGACAGTTGTCTTTATTTCTCAGATATGGCCATTCATTACAACAATGTGAATCTATAATAAATAAGCACCATCGATGTTAAGAAGAATCTTACTTACATACAAGTACCTGCCATTGCGTTTTCCCCATCACAGTCTAAACTTTGTGAAGGAAGCGAGGAGCTCAAAAACTGTACAATCTTGGAAAATAACGATGCTTTTTTGATCCTTGTGTCACAAAAATCACAGTGTCCAATCGAAATCCAATTTTTCAGTGAACTGTAACAGTCGGTTTATAAAGGGTCAGATAAAACTGCAAAAAGCTCTTATGATCATCCATACCATCTGTGTTAGTCCCACTTTGTAAAGGTGTGGCTGGAGCCAGATGCATTGGTTGACTACAAGACAGTCTTAGATTTCTGTCACAGGGCTGGTTTCGATCCATAACTCATTCACTATTTTGACACATTCTTGATTCAAAACTTCCAATCACTTTACAATTACCGGTACTCATTAATTTATCAGTCAGTTTCAAGGAATAAATATTTAATTTGCAAGCTCCATTTTTTAGTTTGCAAACTAAATATGTAGCTTCAAGCTGAATATATAACGCAATATTTAGTTATCATTAGCAAATTAAATTTTTAGCACTCGCAAACTAAATATTTAGTTATTTAGCTCCAAAGTAAATTTTTAGATAAAAACATCAGTTAGCAATCTAAATATTTAGCCTCAATCTAAATAGCAGGCTAAATATTTAGTCTACAAACTAACTAGTTAGCTTAAAACTATTTAGTTTGGAGCTAAATATTTAATTAGCATTAGCAAATTAAGTATTTAGTTTAAATCTAGATATTTTGTTTGCTAATACCAACTAAGTATTTAATTTTGGGCTAAATATTTTGTTTGCTAATGCTAACCAAATATTAGGTTTGTAAACCACATATTTAGCTAATTAAATATTTAGTTTGAAACTGTGACACTTATGACTGAGTGAATAACTTCATACAAATGTGACTAAAAAATGAGTCTCCTTATTTTTTTTATGACAGACTAAATAACCCAAATTATTGCCGTTAATTTTTGATCCATAACTCATTCACTATATTGATACATTCTTGATGCAAAACTTCCAATCACTTGACAATTTACAAACATCAATTGGCACCATTAAATGATTCAGTAGCCTCAGGCATTGGTTCCATACTGCAACAAAGCAAAACAGAGGAAAAGAAAAAGAGCAGCCGCATGCCTAGGTGGGCCCCATGTGGGGGGAAAGGAGGGCTGATATATGGGTCCCATATGGGTTTGTCTGCGGGTTCCACGATGGCCCCACATGGGTTTGCCCATGTAGGGCCACAGCCCACATGGGCCCTACATGGGCCCTATATGGTGGTGGCCCACATGGCATTGTCCATTTAGGGCCCATGTAGGGCCCATGTGGGCTGTGGCCCTACATGGACAAACCCATGTGGGGCCATCGTGGAACCTGCGGACAAACCCATATGGGACCCATATATCAGCCCTCCTTTCCCCCCACATGGGGCCCACCTAGGCATGCTGGCTGGGATATGTGGGTGAATATTAGCACCACATCTTAGGACAAGCAAGCAACATTTCTTTTTTCTTTTTTTTTTTCCATGTTCAAAAACACTTCCCTGAAGGCACAGCCAGGAAACTCCATTGTTTCTCTGAGGGCAGTGTTCAGCTTCATGTGCCAAAATCAACATGGCTTCCAGTCAGTCCATTCTGATCTCATGTAAGTGAATTGCTGATGAGGCAGTCCAGCTTTGGTATTTACTGTGTCCAACAGGGAAATAGAAAAGTATTCCCTCCTCCCCTTACAGATTTCGCCTTCTGTTTTGATTTTTCACACCTAAATGTTTCAGGTCAAAGAGAACCTTAGTTATGGGTTTTCCACTGATGATCTCTTGTATTAAGGGGGAAAAGTTATCCAACCCAAACAAGCCTTATGAGAAAAAATGTCTTTCTATTAAGTTATGAATTATAATAAACTACATTATTTAGAAGGTTAAATTCAGTTTCAGTTTCCTGTCCTGTCAAATCAAGAATCTTACACAATCTGTCGACCAACACGAAATAGGCTAGTAGATCTCAGCCCGTTGGTAGTGGAGCTAGGGATATCTACCAGCAGCCCACCCTGTTTTTGTGTTATAATATTTTTAAAGTTACAAGAATTTGGAGGTGCATGACCAGGCACCTGCCAACGAGCAGGTGTGGTGATGGTGCAATTGATGCACAACCCCCTTGCACCCGATTCAACGCATTTACTATAAACCTTGCTTTATCCGTCTTTACTGTCACTGTTAATGGTGTATAAAAATCCCTACTTAAAATAAACAAACAATATTAGGCTGGTTTGGATGCAAGTAAAACCTGTTGGTCCACCAGGCTTATAATTCACTGAAAGTTGTTTTGGACATTATTTTTCCCTTAATACATGGAATCAATTTTTCTTTGTCTGATGTGAAATATAATTAGAAACATTTAAGTGGAACAGAAAAGTAAAAACAGAACAAATCTTTAAGGGAGCTAAGTGATTAGTTGCTGGCTCTGTATGATAGATTAAATAATATATGCTTGAGGAATTGTAAACATAATCCTTGATACATGACAGACATTAATAATGTGAAGGTCCAACAGAAGAGCCAGGGTTTGCCTGTGTCACTGGAAGGGCCTGAGGACAACTACGGGACTGAGGCAGCTGTGGCAGAAGTCTGTTCCAGATGCTTTTAGGAAATTGAAAGTCAGGTTTATTGATACCTGCTTTTGTTAATATAATATACAAACTTAATCTTCAACCTCCTCCACAATGTTTGTAGTATAAATATGGAAAATGGAAAGACCTCTGCTAAAGTTGTTATTGTACATAGTCCAGTTAGCCAAGTTTATTTAAAGGTAAATTGGTTATCTTGTATTCAGATAATTTTTTTCGACCAGGTATGAAGATACACTAACCACTGATTCGTTCATTTTTCCAAAACAAACAACAAAGCAATGATCAACTGACATTGTGGCCAATAGCCAAACCCAGTTAGTTTGGGTAATCCAGGCGAAGCCCAAACTCTTATTCTAATCAAATAAATAGTCTGAACAAAAGTACAGATTTCACCATATATTACTGAGCATTTGAGGGCTTTTTCAATGAGCATATGTGACTAGCTCTTTCTTAGTCTGGTGGCAAGCTAGCAGCACTATATGCTAGTTTGCATAAAGCTCATTGAAAAAGATGTTGAGTCACCTATGTTCATCTTTTTTAGTGAGCATGGGTGGGCATCTCCTTCTTGGTCTGGTGTTATGATAAGTAGCAAGCTAGCAGCACTTTATGTACATATATGGGTACAAATATTGGTCAAAGTATTACTTAACCTAAGGCCATGGTTCTCAAACTAAGGTACTAAGGTACAATCCCTTAGAACTCCCTTCACAAGAATTTGATCAAGATTTAGCAATAAATATTTGCAAGGTAGATAGGGACATATAGTCTGTGATTCAGACCCTTTTCTATAGAAATAGAAGTACAGTGGGGAACATTTTTAATAATTCCTGTCAGAAGCAATAATGAGTTCTGCTGACATTTGATGCATTTTTTGCCCCTGTAGTTGGAACTGGAATCTGGGATTTAGATAAAACTCAGCCAAACCAGTTCCATATTAAAAACCAGCAAGATTTGGTAAATTCTGTATTCGAGGCTAACGTCTCTTAGCTTTACCAGCCAATAACAATGTATATTTATCTGTTTTGTGCATTCAAATGCTGTATCATCCAGTTCCCTTAAAAATGTTGTACATTATTGTGTGACAGATTTAATGGCACAAATTATCATACATTCCCAATAACACTCTTTTTTTCTTTGATCTAACAATTTCACATGGAAGGCAGCCATGTTGGATTTCTAAATTGGGGCTGGTGAGAAAAAACTATTTTTCTCACTGGGAATTCTGACTTAAGAGACCTTTTGAGAAACTGAAAAACTCCATAGTTTGTTGTGACAGTAAAATAACTGCCAAAAAAATGACAAAATAAATAATATATATCTGGGAAAGATTGTGTTTTTCCCCAAAATGTGGTATTTACTGAAATGGTAACAGTTATAAAAAGTTTGAGAATCACAGAATTAAGCAAAAGGTAAAAAGCAGATTTGATTGAATCTCAAACTGTTGCTTCTGTAAATATAAATAAATAATAAATGGTTCCTACAATTCTACAGTGTTAGTACAAGACCGATAGAAAGTAGTGGTTGAAGAAGCGCTCTCCGGTACAAAGCTTTGGGGAAGTTATGTTACCATTTTTCAGTCATGAAACAGGCACCTGAGATGTTTATGACACTGCCTTCATTAGAAACATGAAACCTCAGTGAACAGGGAATGCTAACTGCAGGAGCTCCATCTTCATGTTCAGTTTCAAGCATGCCAAAGAGTCAACCCTCCTAAGGACCTTCTCAAAGAACAATGACATTTACTTCCTTCAGCATTTCTTTTCAACAATTTCAAGCTTGTTGGAAATGTGCAACAGTATGCTTCCTTTCATTCTTCTACTATAAGTTATTTCCTTAAAGAAGCGTCCTGCTGCTTCGAGTTCACAGACGTCAGTTGACAGTTACGGCGTTGTTTCTGCTAATGCTAAAACAGGAAATCCATGTTGAGTCAAATGTCGCTTGTCCTTGAGCCCAGGGCCAGATTGCCCAGTGTGGAGAAGAAATCCTCCATCTCCTTCTCCAGGAGACGGTTACGGTTCTCAGCGTCTTCCCGCGCCCGCTCAGAGTTCCGCAGCTTGATCTCCAGCATGCGCTGCTTCTTCTTCTCTTGCTCCATCTCTTGTTCTAAACGCTCCACCTGGGCACACAGCGCTGTGCTGGACTCTTCCAATCTGAAGGGGTGCAGCACAGGACAGACAAAGGTCAGGGGTGATTATACGAGATGATGTATCTGTATTCTGGATCTGTATTTGTAAGCTGACTCTATAGCTTGCTAATGAAATATCTCAGACTGACAGACTGAGTTATTACAGTTGATTTTCGACTGTTTAACTTTACAAAGAGTTTTCCACCTACACCGGTTAAAATGGCTGCTTGTGTGATTGCTGTTCCTGTTACCTAGGTGCTTAAGTGGACGGTTTGCAGTTATGCCAAACTCTTTCCATTTACAAATTATGGCTTGAACAGTGGTCAACCTAACCTTGTTTTAAACCTCTCCACAGCATTGCCCCTCACCTGTGTGCTGTGTTCCTTAATTTTCATAATGCTGGTTGTTTTCTAATGTTCTCTAATAAACCTCTGAAGCTAGAAACAGAACAGCTGGATTCATAAATAATATCCAGCTGCATATGGCTGCATGTCTGTCATCACAGTTATACATGCTGATAAAACCAGTAAGAAAATTGTATTTTTGCCTTCCATTGTTTAAAAGACTCTGCTGTCTCTACTTACTTCTGAATCCTGGTCTCATATGTTGTCCTCTGTTTCCTCAACTCCTCCTTCAGTTCCTCCACCAGAGCATTCAGGGTCAGGGTAGTCCCATCTCCGTCTTCTGTCATAATAATGGACGGTACCCCTGCTACCGCGGGCAGGTTTTCACTTTCGCCGAATGCCACACTGCTGCTGCAAAGATCCATGGCCTCACATCCATCCACGTCCACGCCCGGCTCCGTCGCCCTCCCCGCTTCCTTTTCTCTCTCAGTCTCCCTCTGGCTCTCTGTCCACTCTGTAATCTCTTCGCTATCCGCTCCACCTCCAAAGTTCTGATGTGTCAGAGGTTCTCCGCCGGAGTCTGGAACAGAGATATCGCAAGAGGAGCTCGACCACGGTGTGCTGGAGACACTGGGAACGCTCCCCGTGCTGGAAGAAGACGTGACGTTGTCATAAGTGGACAGTCTCTGGGACGACCCAGTGGAGTCTCGATCTCTGGCGGATCGCTCCCCTGAAGAAGTGCGGCGGTGGCCCCTCAAGGAGGACAGACCATTCATCAGCCAGTTACCTCCACCACCAGAAGGAGCACTTGTATCTGCCACTGTGGCACCTGTGGCAGCTTGCTTAGCCTGTGGCTGTGAACGGGGAGTTGAAGAACTTTTGAAAGAGTATTTCCAGGAAGGCATGGTCTTGGCTTGTTTACTTGGACTGACTACGGGCTCTCCTTTCCCCATTGAAGGCGCCATTTTTGGTCCAGGGTTTGGGTTAGGGGCGATGGCCGCAGACAGTTTGGCGTCCAGAGATGAGGCACTGCTGTGGAGTTCTTGTTCAGTGTTGGAAGCAGGACCACTCTGCAGGTCCTCCTCAGAGATCCACGCTCCCAGGCTGCGGTGTTGGAGCTGATGCACCTGGGCAGGTAACTCCATTAGGGGCAAAGCAGGTCCTTCGTGGTCCCTCCCTGAGTATAATCGCTGGTGTTCCCTAATGAGGACTGTCATTAGGTGCTGGACCAGAGAAGTTCCTAGACAATGTGCATGCAAAATGTTATTGTGATTATGCGAAAGACTAACACAAAGTAGTATGGAGTTTTCATGTTTTTCACAATTAAAAATCTGAAAAGCATGGCACACATTTCTGTTCAACCCCCTTAACTCTAAAAGCCTTAAATAGAACTCAGTTGAATTGCATTCAGAAGGTTTCCAGCTGAGTCGCCTTCAGTGTAATTGAATTTCAGTGCAAATTTAGCTAATCTGTGAAGACCTAGAAACCATTAATGAAATAAAAGCTTGATAAAGACCAAAGAAGACCAGCAGTGAAACCGTTCACTTTACAATTATGCACTATATTGTGTTGGTATTCAAGCATCACAGAATGTAAAGAGGCTTAAGGGGTATGAAAACACTTGTGAGCCGTCGTGTATTTGGTATTCATACCCTCCATGAGAGTAACTGGGTCCTCCATCTTGGTTCGAAGGATATTTGGTCCAAATACTGTGGCCAGGTTCTGAACGCTCATCTTGTTCTCGTTGCAGTGGGACTGAACCTCATCAAGAAACCTGAAAAACAAAAGATTCCCAAAGTTAGACTAAAAGAAATGCAAATTGTTTACTGAGGTTGTGTTGAAAGGAAGAGGACTGACTTGCATATGTACTTGAGGAGATTGTAATTAGGCAGAGGTAGAGTGTTAACTTGTTTCCCAAGCTCCTGGATCCCCTGATTTAAAACAAAATATATTAGTTATTGTGAAAGCGATGGCACCAAAACTCCTTACAACTAAACAGTGCAAACCTCCTCCTCGTCTTTGGCCAAAAGCTGTGCACAGGTTAGAAAGTCCTCATATTTGGAGAAAGGAATGACTGGTTCAGGCAGTTCTCTCAGGTACAACTTCAGCAAGGATGCCACCGTGTGGACGTCTGTGTTACTGTGAGTCAGTACATGTAAAAAGAAAGAAGTATCAGAACTGTAAAAGTCACGGACACTAGATGTTACATTTCGTCAACCTCTCAACATCTACCCCTTACCTGTCAAACAAAGGCTTGTCTCCGCAGTCAAAGGCCTCTTGAAGATCTTTGACCAGATTGGCCTGTCCGGGCATCCGAAAGAGACCCTCTTCATCCAGGCCCCTCTCTCTGATGAAGTCCACACACTGCTCCACCAACAGCGGTGCCAGCCGGGGGCCAAACTTCCTCTCAAACTGCACTGTGTCCTCCAGACGTTGGCCAAAAATTCCTGAAGATAAACATTTGAAACAGAAAGTCTGATTGCAAGAAATTGTTTGAGGCTTTGCTGTGTAGAGGAAGGTTTTGTAAACCTAACAACCTTTCAAACATTAGTTGATGTGGTTTGGAACAGGATCACTAGGATTACTGTGTCATTAGGTAACTGGAACTGTAGTCATAAGGCATGTACAGTGATCAGTACACAGTCCTCAAGTATTTTGCTATTGTTTTGGTGATTTTTTTAGCAGTCAAAGTGACTGATTTTGTGGTGGTTCTTTAGAAATATTTGAGATTCTGGACAATAATTTGACATCAAGTACGGATGAGGCATTAGTGGGGTATAAGTAAGACATACTACCACCTGCAGATCGGAGTGAGCAGCGACTTAAACCCAATGTTTGACAATTTTTGCAGAAAATTTTCAGTAAACTTAAAAATGTGGGAATCTGTGTGAATTTCCCCTTATTGGAGAATGAAGAAAAACTGGTAGGACTGATTACAGTAGACAGCAATTCAAAAGGTCTTTTCTTGAATATGGAACAAGGGGATTCACTCTGGCCACAACCCTAACCTGCAAATAGCTGAAATCTGTGAACTCTTGATACCCCACCAAATGCTTATATCTGATTATAAGCATTTGAAACCGTCTTATCCATGTATTCCCTTATTTCTGCTCTTGGGAGTACAGCCAGTCAGTAACACATACACCACATGCACCAGCCAATAGCATGTCCAGACAGAATTCTGTCTAGCTATTTCACCTTCCCATCCTCAATGGATGTTTTTGTGCCATTATTCTCATTATATATATATATATATATATATATATATATATATATATATATATATTGTCAATTTATCTCAAACATATTTGAAAGTCTAAATGCATATACATGATATCTGTGCATATGAGGAGTGTAATGCATCCTATCTATCTATCTATCTATCTATCTATCTATCTATCTATCTATCTATCTATCTATCTATCTATCTTACTTATTTCTAGATATAATGGTGAAATTATTTATGTATTGCATTTTTAAGAAATTAAGCTGCGCAAACTTAAAATGCATGACCATAATGCAATAAGAATATGAAAATGATTTTAAAAAGATACACTAAGACAAAATGTTATTAGAATAAATGTTGTTAGAGCAATACAATTCATCCCCAACTTTAGTCATTACTAACTTTATAATTTAGTTGACGTAATACTTAATAAAAACATAAATATACTTAGCTTAAATCAGCTATTCTGACAGCCTAGGTGTATTGAATTAGCAGCTAATTACTGTTTGACAGGCTGCAGCAGTCACAGCTGGCTGACAGCTCGCAGTAATCGTGGTACTTCACCATGCAGGAGCTGCACGGCAGCAGAGAGCGTCTTTCATACATCCCAAAGCCGCATTTCACTACGTTAATCCATCCCGTGTCTGGCATTTCACTCTGGGAACCAGGGCATTAATCCTTCATTTCCAAACTCCACAACCGAATCAAGTAAGCTGGGGCAAACTAGACGACTGCAGCACAGCAGAAGAACATGATGAGGTCAGTGCGCTGTTAACCTCAGCCCCTAGAGCTGGCGACAGGTCTATTCTGGACTGTGAACCGAGACGACACACACACACACACACACACACACACACGCCTCTCCGGGACCTGTGAAACTGGGAGGGAGGCTGGAATCATGACCGAGCCACACACAGAACCGAGTTTATTAGCTCCATTGATGTAATTGTTGCTAAATACTTCACACTGTCACAGTTTAGGGTTATGTTTCTTTTTCTTGTAAGATTTGAGCTAACTGGCTCAAGTAAGACGTCGCTAAGCTAATGTTACAAAGCTAGCGAATATGGTTACTTTTTTGGGTACATTTCTACCATAGTTTTACACATTGTTATAATATTTCTTTTCAGTTTTATACTCTAAGCAATGTAGTTGACATACAAAAATAAACAAATAAAAATTTTAAGTTGTACAAGTTAAAGAAGCATCTGCTTGAGACAGAATGACAAATATAACAAGTCTGCCAGTGATGTCATCCATGATATTATTGGTAACTTACTCCAAATTTATGCTCCTATTAATATAGTTCCTTCCTGTGGTAACATAAGACACTGGTGTTAAGCTGCGTCTTGGTCCTCTATACAGTCAGACATATCTGGATATGTTTCTATCCTGTCAAGTTAACTAATCTGGGATGTGAAGCTAATGATTAACATCAGACTAGTTGGTTCCTGCATCAAACAACCATCATTCAAACCAAAACCAGACATACATCCTGTCAAGTTAACTTGACAGGATAGAAACATATCCAGATATGTCTGACTGTAGTTCCCCTCAACTGATGGCGGAAACAAAATAGAAGCTCCCTATGATCTTATTTAGTCTATATTGGAAAGATCCTGAAATAGATGGACTGGATCATGTTTGTGAAGATGTTGCTGGCTAGGAACATCTAGGATACTGAGCAGCTATATCATCTAACTTGACACAGATAAGCTAAAGGTGAGGTATGATGTTGGCATTTCCATTTTAAATGTTAAAATCTCATTTCAAATGCATTTTGTAGATTTCTGGAGCCTGTGTGGCCGACAGGAAATGAACATTTTCCCCACTTTTGGAGGACTGTCTTCAGACTTTATAAGCATTGTTTTTATTAACATTGCTGTGATTCTGAAGACTGAAGAATGTTAGTCTTCATCTTCCCTACATAAACCATGTCTTTTCCATGTGTTTTAGGTTGAGGCTTGAGTTTACCTCCGCCAAATGGCGCCCAGATGACCCGCCGTATGGCCTTGACCCAGTCATCCATGTCGGTCTGCGAGCTTGCCATGAGCAGGAAGGATTCATGGCTAATCGGAGCACGGTCCTTCTCTCCCGTTCCACCTGGCGAGGGACAAAGACGAGGAGTTGAGGAGTACAGGTGACTGAACATGTGACACACTTATGACATAGTTAATGGAATGAAACTGCGTGGGAAGTTTAAACTAAAGCGTCTTGAATTAATTTGAAGGGAAGTTAATGCATCAAATAAACTATGATATGCAGAATAAGACATGGAGACAAAGGCCTCATTGTTATAGACAATGTCTACGGTTTATTGGTAGTGAGTTCACATGAGAAATGTAAAGATGTGGGCTAGCTGCCAGCATCAGAGTATAGCCAAGTTGAACTCCTTACTGCCTGAACGCACAGTACCGTGGTGTGAAAAGTGTTTACCCTCTTTCCTGATTACCTTTTTTTATTTTGTATGTTTGTCACACTGCAGTGTTTCAAATCGTCAAACCAATTTTAGTCAGATGTCACAAGTAAACAAAATGCAGTATTTTAATGAAGATAATTATTAAGGCAGAAAAATAAAAAATTGCATGGTTCTGTGTGGAAAAAGTAATTGCCCTCTAAACCACTAATCTTTGAGGAATTGTTCTAATTCAGCCACAGTCTATCCACCTCTGGTTATGTTATTGTTCACTATAATACTGTTATGCAATCAAACAATTTTTACACTATTTTTATTACTTTTGGGTTTATGCAAAATACTCCCAAACCATCTGTTTTCTAAAGGTGAAGAAAGATGCATTACATTTGTCTCGCCACTAGATGGCTCCATCAGTTCTGCTCAAAGCGCTTGATCAAATCCTGAGCAGCTTGTTTTAGCTGAAACATCAGCACATAAACACAATCATACTCGACATATAAAGACACTAAATTTGGAGGAAAAAAAGAAACACTTAAGATTGCTATAAGGTAATACTGCTAAATAAGAAATTCTATGAAAAGGGAAAAAAAAAACAGAATGAAGCAAGAAATTAAAAAAATCACTTCTTTATCTCTTTAGCACACACTTGAGTAATTCAGAGAATGTCTCTGTTTTCTTGTTTGGAGCCATTAGTGTCGGGCGGTGGTGTTGCCACAGCCACAGCCATTGTTGTCACAGTCATTTAACCAAATTTAAACAGCAGCTCAATGGAAGCTGAGGGCCATTGTCACCCAGCTTTTTAAAGTCACACTCTCATGATGAGCAGGGCTGCACCGTATGACCGTACCGGCCAGTAGAACAGGAATATAATCTAGCTTCATTCAGGAACACGGGGTTTACAAATTATCAACACAGAAATTAAATGAGGGATTCAGTCTGCCTGAGCAAACTCAGTTATCAAACGTCATCCATGACGTTTCACATATTTTCCCCAAAGCTTTGGAGAGCATCGAGATGTGTTTTAGTTTTGCCAAACGTGAGATGGGCTTTGTGCTTGTATTGGTCAGCAACAGCAGAGTAGTGAACAACAAAACGAAAGTAAAGATGTTCAGTATGAACAGTACCTAAACTGCCATGGGACTAAACAGTGAATTGGGAATGTAGTAATTTCTTCTAACAATGAATAAGAAATCAAGTCAAGGAATACAAGTACTTCCCCAAAAACGTCTCTTGCGTATTTGTCACTCAGAAAGTTTAGCTTATATTTTGTAAATATTCATTCCACAAAGTGAAATATTTAAAGCATTTAGTTTTGTAATTTTCATGATTATGGCTTACAGATTAGAGACCCCAAATTCAGTGCCTTAGAAAAACAAATAAAATGGATGTATACGAGTATTCATGCACTCTGTACATGGCTGAGGGTACTTTTGCTGCAATTACTGCGTCAATGCGACATGGCCTGGAGATCAGCCTGTGGCACTGCATAGCTGTAACAGCATGTTGGGAGAGGAGAGCATGAAAATTTCTAACATGTCCTGGTGGATGGTTGTGTTGACTGTGGATTTCACACTGAATTGTAGATGTAGTTGGAAATATCAGAAAAGATTAAATTATGTCTGCAAATGGAAGGATGAAAAGACCTAGAACTGTACCTTGTGGAATGCCACAGATTAGGGAGAATGACTTCTTGTTGTGATGGAAAATCTTATCAGGAAGATAAGAGCCAGAGATGCCCACCAGAACTTTTAACCTGCTCAGTGAATTTGAACATTTGAGCAGCAGGAGGGTGTATGTGTATTTTGGTGAATGGTGAAACACAGCTGTAGATGTAAATCTATCCATAGCTTGGTCCACCAGACCTGGGCAGAGCAGCTGGTGCTACTTTCACTTGTGGCGCTGCACCAACAACTATTGATGGAAAGGAGACAAAAACCTCTGAAGAAGACACTGAGCGCAACTTCCTCCTTCACAAAATATGAACAAAAATGGAGTAGTGTCGGATTTTAGAGGTTGTAGGCTTTCTCTTTTGTCTTTGGCAAAAGACCGCACGTCTTTTCTCTCATGTATTTGTCTTGGTTGTATGTACCGGCGGTACTGCCCCCAGGAGGCATTCAGCGGATGGTAGGGGGCGCTGCGATTTCTTTGGGTCGTGTGCTCAAAGGTAAACTTTTACCCCTTATAGCACAACAATACGTGTTTAGACTATGAGCTACTTGCTAAAAACGGAGACATTAAATCATGCTCGGCTGCAACTATGGTAGCTCTTCTCTTCAGTGTTCCTGTTAGCTTCTTATTACAGCTCCGTGTTCCTGCTACTGGTAGCTTCACCGCATCAGTTCAGTGTTACACTGGCTAACGGCCTTCCTGTCATTCACTTGTCTGATGTCTGGTTTTAAATATTTGACGTCCTATTGGGGGTTTTATATACATGTGTTTTGGCAGTGTTGTAGTCGTGTCAAAGCAGCAACTTGTATTGAAAAGTGTTTTAATGTTCATCTGGGTGATGCCCGCTTCCATGGAAGGACAACGGAATATCGCTCTGATCAACATGTAATGACTAAAATCATGATCACAAAAATGAACCAATTTAAATAAAAAAATTAAAAAAAATCCTTCCATGAATGTAAGTCATTATTATGCCAAAATAGTCATTTTTTGGCATGACTATTTAGAGCGCCCATGGTGGAACGTTCATTTTATAGAGTTAACATCGGAACTGTAAGTGGTCCGGTATGTAACGGCAGCGCCAGCACTTTGAAATCTCACTTATCAGTTTACCGTGATTTTTTTCTGTCGTTGTAACAGGTAAGTCAGTCTGCCTTTCCCCATTGATTCGCTCCCCCACAGCTCCACACCATTAAAAACAAGCAAAACTCAGAAACGGGGATAGGATATGAAAACAGAGAGTCCGAATCTGATTCACGCTGAACAGTGAAAAATCAAGGACTTAAATGAGGGCAGATCAGATGATGAGGCGGCACAGCAGGTGAATGGCATAATGAGGGAAGATGGCGTGTCAATGCAAAGGGGAAGCAAACTAATAAACGAGGGAAACGGCAATAAACCAAGAAAAGATCAAACAAATCAAAGGAAACTAAGTGGAAATGCACAAAGAACAAAATGCAAGAAGAAACTAAAGTAAATGCAGAGGAATAAACCTATATGGCAAGGCCTTTTGAGCAATAATTAACAGGATACTAAATGTAAGAACAAACAGGCACTATTTTCAGATAAAAAATAATATTGTTGAAGTGCCATGGGTTTGTTGAGACCATATCTAGTACTAAGAATAAATGTATTT